AAAGCTACACTGCACGTCTGACCCCGAGAAAACAGACGCCGTGGAACCCGCACCACCATCGGACGCTACCTCGGCCCTTTCGGTGTGAGACTTGGCGGGTCCCAGCGTAATGGCCCACCAACCCTATTAGTAACGAAAAAGCGGTCGTCCGGCACGCTACGAGCTTTTGAACTTTGCAACACGAGCGATTATCCACAAAATCCTGGAGTTGGTGTGGTGTTGGGACGATCTAGTAAAGAACGAGGTTGATCACGCAGTGGGCTGGTGACGTTGAGGCGTAAATGGGTAGTATCGGTATTGAGCTTGAGCCTCAATACGATGCATGTATCCACTGGAAAGCTACACATGTCCATGTTGCGTTACGTTAGACTGCATGTACAATATTGGAAGTTTGTTGGAAGGGGAGGACCCGTCACGCCGTGGTGAGCTGGCTGGCCGGTCATGTGAGTGAGGGGATAGGAGAGGTGAGATTGATGATGATTTTGCTTAGATTGGCCATTTTGTTTTGCCGATACCAAAGCACGCACCACGTTTCCCCATTTCCCCATTCGAAAACCAGTACGATTGGATCGTAGAAAACGACAAGGAATTGAATAGTCTTACCTGTTCTAATAATACTTCAGATGATCATTATTTGGTTAGCGATGGAGGCTTCAGTACACAGACGGAATGTCAGGATAGACGTGATTAAGATTATTTTCCCCACCCTGCCCCAGATCAAAGGGAACAACCAGACGTCTTTCACCTTCTCGACGGCCTAAAAACAAAAAAAGAATAGTTCAACTCGTGTCAAAACATAAAGTCATCAAGTGTAGATCAAAGAGCATTGTCATCCATCCTCCCAAACGCTATCCTCATGCCATCACACGCGTAAGCCAACATCATCACCAAAGACCGTTAAATCAACCATTCACGAGGTCCCCCAATTCGGTACGAGTTTAATCCTCGATGTTACAACTCTCCATCTATGTATTCCCCCAGTCAACACAACCGCAGTTCCTGAACCTCAGCCTTCGATTACGAAACGATAACACGCGTGACGCGATCCATTCTTTTCCTCTACGTAGTATGTCGTAAATTGTCTTTGTGAAATCCGCAGGTCTGCTCAGAAGGTTCCCGAGCTATTGACGCCGCTATCTTCTTCTTGGACGAAATGAGAAGCTTGACTTGTCTTCAACAACGAGACGCGTGGGTGGACGGCACGGTGCGGGGGAACCTCGGCGAAGTGGCTTTGTATATTTAGCGTAGGTGCCTGGGTTTTGCTGATGCTTCCTTTATGTGGCATATCTTGAGATATCTCTATAACATCCCTATCCAATACCACCACAAACAACCCTTTCCCCTTCACACAACCCCTTCCCCAGCTCAAAACCTCAATCCCACAACTACGAAACGACACATGCACTCCACATCTTTCCTCCATCTTCCCCTCCGTCTTCTTCCCCGTCCTTACCACGTTTCCGTGCAAAAGCCCTTGACTCCCCACCACCATCTTCATCATCTCCATCCCCGCTAAACACCCGTCTAGTAATCCATGGACTCCCAACATATGTCTCAGTTATATCTAACCTCTGTCATATACACGGAAGCCGCCGCTCCCGCTTTGACTCTGATACAACAAGCCGTGACCCCGTCTCCATCTTATACGGACGCCGCTCCTGCACTGCCTCTGATGTATCCAACAGTTCTTTCCTCTTCCTCTGGAATGGTGGTAGCGGTGGTAGATTCGTGTCACTAAGAGCTTGTGACGGCTGCTCGATTTTCCTTTTCCTTTTCTTGTCTTGATAGACCTCCGACGCATCAAACGGTCCCGCCTTCTGCCTCTTATACGGACGCTGCTCCTGCACTGCCTCCAACACATTAAATGGTCCCCCCGTCTCCGTGTCCCTCTTCCTTTCCATCTTCTTCCACTCAAGTGGCGGTAGATGCATATCACTAATCGCCGGCTCCGCTCACCTAACTTCCCTTTTCCTTTTCCTGTCGTTTCGAAACACCAGAGGAAGTGGCAGCAGTGTCGTATACGTTCCTAGCTGTTCTGAACGCAGTAGAGATGATGCAGGATATACAAACCCTGATACATCACCACCCACCCCCAAACTCTCCAAGCTGCTGGTTCTCCTCGACCGCAAACCCGCTGTGTTAACCCGTCTCTCCATCTCCATCTCCATCCCCTCCTCCTGTGCCCTCCTCACCGACAAAGCTTCCTTACCCCACCAACGCCGCCGTGGTACACTCGGCGCATCAACATCTGCCTCCCTCCCTGCCTCGCCATTATCGTCGTCATCCTCGCTGGATGTGGTTAGCTCGGCAATGTAGTAGTGTGGTGGGTGTGAGATATGCGTATGGAGTGTTGTATGCGGTAAACTTGCGCTGTGGGATAGCATGTGTGCGGCTTGGTCGTCTGCAGTCATGGTTCTCCAGTGTAGACTGCAGAAGGGGCAGGTTGGTCGTGTTGAGCGGTTGGCTTTTTCGGAGGAGGTGGTGGAGGCGGATGACGCGGTGCTGGGGTAGGCGTTTAGGAAGGAGAAGAGGTGTTGAGTTGAGGCGCGGGATGAAGGGGAAGAGGAGGAGCTTATTTCTTCTAGCCATTTCTGCACAGCTGTGTAGTTGTCGTTTCGTGGATGTAAGTGGATGGTGCTGGGGCGGCGGTGTAGGGCTTTGGTGCTGGTGGAGCTGGAGCTGGAATCGTCGTCGTTGGACGCAGCGAGGTTTTCGTATATGAGATCTTCCTCTTCTTCTTCTTCTTCTTCTTCTTCCTCCTCCTCCACCATCCCCAACCCCAACCCCAACCCCCCCCTCACAACCCCCCCTCACCCTTCCTAACCCAAAAATAATAATGCGGCACATCACACTCCCCAAACCTCACAAACCTCAAATTCTGCAGCGTCCTCCCCCTCCTCTCCCCCACCCACGACGACGTCTTCGGCTCCCCAAAATCCAAATAAGCGGGTAAAAAACACATGGCAACAGGCCTATACCTGGAACTCTCATACACCTCTGCAGTTTTTCTTATCTTATTGCGTCGCCTCTCTTCGTGCCGCCACGTTCTCTCGTCTTTACCCACGATACCACCACCAGCTTGACCCGCACCAACGCCCACACGCAGGAGTCGACGGTTCTCCAAGGCCCACTTTGCATACGTGTCCGCGAGGGATTTAGCCTCGTTCCGCGCGCCGAGGTGGAAGTACATGCGGCCGGTACGGCCCTGCACGACTGTTTTGGACGCCCAAAACGCGCCGGTTTCTACGACTGCGTTGCGCAAGAGGCCGTGGAGACGGTGCTGTTGCTGATGCGAGTGTGCTGAAGAACGTGTTTCAGGAGGGAGGATAGGGACGTAGTTTGGGGCTACAGAGGCGGGGTATTTGGAACCGGGTAAGATGAGTTTCTGCCGCGTGTGCATGGTTGTTAGTTTGAGGGGGGCGTAGTGAACGGGAGCGGGTGCTGGGTTTGGTAGTCTGGCGAGGTCGATGAGTGTTTTTGCGGGAGGAGGGTCGGGACGTGGCAGGGTGTCGTATAGCCATTCGAAGAGACGGAGTTTGCAGTCGTGGGTAGGGACGTGGGAGGTAGAGTAGGTGGAGGATTCTGTAGAGGTAGAATCCCAGGATTCGTCGCTGAGGGCTTGACCTACGACGTCGCTGCCGTTTTCGGGGGGTTCTGCTTCGTCTTCGTTTTCGCTGGGCGTGTCATCGCTGACGCTTTCGTCGCGGTCTCTTTTTTGCATCCTTTCGAGCCGGCGCTTGTGTTTGGCGGCGATGAGGGCTTGGAGTTCGGCTTCTTTCTTTTCTTGCTCTTTTCGCGCTTGCTGCTGCCTTTTTTGATAATGGATCCGAGCTTGGTGCTGGGCTCTTCTCTTCTCGTCGTCATTTCGCTTCAGCGCCCATGCCATTTCTCCCTTTTTCATGTCTTTGCGGTAGATTCCTCGCTCTTTGGCCGCGTCGAGTAGCTCCTTGTAGTTGTACGTGTCGTAAATGGAATCTGTTCTATCCTGATCCTTGACTTTGTGTGTGCCGCCCCGTCTGTGAGCAACTGCTTGTGGAGCCATGCTTGATCCCGCGGATGAAGAGGAGTCATGGTACAGGTCCGGACTGTGCCTCTTTGGTTTGCCTTTGGGCGTGCTTGCTGCCGATTTGCTTGATCAGTATGATTTGTAGTTAGCTATGGGAAGTAATGTTTAAGACGTCTGAATGGTCTGGGATGACCTATCACTGTCGGCGAGGGTTGAGGAGGCTGCGTATCGAGTGCGAAACTATCTCACTTGCCAAGCCCGTGTCTTTGAGGATGCGATTCAAAGACATGTACTTGGGCGCTTTGTGGTCACAACAGCCTTTGTCTCACGCAAGTATAGCATGCGCTTGAAACACCGAAAACGTCATTTAGCACTACATGAGGCAAGTTTAAACATGAAAAAGTTGATTTGTAGCGACTCTAGGGTATCTCACTAAGACAGGTTAACCTACAGACAGTCAATACGTGCGGAGCTGCTTACAGTTCCGATTTCTCGGTATCCTCTCTCTTTGCTGTTTTGACGTCAAAGAAGCCCTCTAACTCCATCCACTCGGCAGTGAAAGCCATGAACAGCTTTGTCCAGTCCTCGACTGTGTTCAAGTCGAGATGCTCCCCGTCGTCCTCTGGTGTGTGCCATACCTTTGGGAAAGGCGAAGGAATCATATGTAGAATTTCGACACCGCGAGCCATAAAGGGAACGTGGTCATCCTGCACAAAACCGCCGATGAATGCCGAGTCGTCCTTGTATGCATCGATCAGGAACGGTCGGTCAGCGCGACGCTTCTCAGGCTCGGCCTCTGCCATCTTGGACTTGCGCAGTGGGGCCGACTTGAACAAGCCCAGCTTTCGCAGACGTTCCTCTGTGTTTGCCATGTGCTTGTATGCCCAATGTGTGGTTTTGAAGTAGGACGGCACTCTGGGGTTCTTTGAGCCCAGCAGGTCGAGCAGAAGAAAGAGTTCGATCGAGTCTAGCGGGGTACGGTAAATCGAGGAAGCCATATGGAAGGTTGACTCCCAATCCTGGGCTAGAGCTCTGTAGAGTATCAGCACCTGACTACATATCATCACATACCGTATCCTACCGAGCTCCGTATAGACTGTCTGTGTCGGTCCAACTCTGGAAAGCCTCTTCACCATCCAACAAGAGTATCTGCACACCCCTGTGTTCCACCTCAAAGTCACCCTTGTCCGTCGCTGCCCACTTCTTGGTCAAAGCCGCATCGATGCTGCGCGCAATGTGAAGAATCATGGCACATGGCGCCGCACTATCCGTCGCCCCAATGAAGTCCTTTGGCGTCAATTTGCTGTCGTAATGCGCGACCAAAGCCAGTCGCGAAACATCTCCCTCCATACTACCAGGTGGATCGCGCGTCGCAATTATGTTGACAAACGGAACTTCCTTGCCCTTGCTCACGGGTGTCGTCGACGTCGAGTTGTGCATCTCTATACGCCATTCTGGTAGTTGCGACTTGAAAAAGTCTACAAAGTGCTGTCGCACAGCAGCATTGCCTTCAGTCCCAGACACTCTAGGGACCAGTATTGGCGCAAGCAAAGCGCCTTTCTTTATATCGAAGTCATCGCCGGGTCCGGGCAGGTTTTTGAGCGTGTCGTCGGTGAGGTTGCGGTAAGCAGCACCGAGGGATGAAAACGCTATAAGCGGCAGGAGCGCAAAGGCGAAGAACATGCTCGCCGATATATCACATAGAGCGATGGTCACTTCAAGTCGAATCGCAACAAAGGAATGAATCAGGGCCAAACTAGAAGCATGTTGGCGCCAGATATTCTAGTGGAGCTTGCGGAGGTGAACCGTGGCATCTGCTTAACGGTATCGCCGCCAGCCTCGGCTTTATCTGCCACAACCGCCGAGCTCGTCTCCACACGTGACAGCGCGACAATGCAAAACTCGACTTTACTTTCACATTGTGGTTTTGCCATTGGCCGAGCTCATAGTTCCAACAGCGAGGATAGTCTTTAAGCGATATTTCTAAAGGGTCTCGCTCGTAGCTGAGCCAAAGCCCAACACCCACAACCAGACTAGAACACCAACAAACTCTACCCTCATCCAAGATGCAACCACGATTATTTGCATTCGCAGCTGCATTTAGAGGTCCTCTATTTACAGCTCGAGGTTCTGTTGCATCCCTCAGACAGCCCCGCACCACCAACTTCGTATGCCAGCGCTGCCTTCGGAAATTTTCCACTTCGCCAACTCTCCGCTCGCTCGGCAAATCGTCCGAAAAAGCCGCTGACAAAGAACGAAGTACGAAATATATAATGAAGCCACAACAACTCTCTAACAAGAAAACTAGAATACCCCTCCAGACTGCTCATCTACGATGCAGGCGACGCACGGACGACATGGATATCCTTCTGGAAAGCAATGGCTCTCTTGCAATTCGGCACCACGCTTGTCTTTGGCGTGCCACCGCTTTGGAATAATGAAAACCAGCCTGATCCTAATGTGAGGAAGATGCAGGCTGTTCTAGGTATGTGAAGATGTTTCTGTGTTTCTGGATGTTCTTTCTCTAGATTTTACTTCTCATGAGAATCACGCTGTTTGCGTGTTTACTATCTTCTTTGTAATGCTTTCATACCAACATATCATATTCCCACAAACTCTACATCCATACTCAACTGTTCCACTCTTACCAATCAATTTCACACTACCTGCATCCACCCACCAAACCCCACCCCCTCCAACCCCCAACCTAACAACCCCCAGTCGGCATCCTAGGCACCATCCCCACCCTAACCCTCGCCTACCTAACCGCGCCCTTCACCCACCAAATCTTCCTTCAAATCCCCCCCTCAGCCCGCCTCTCCCTCCCCGCCCTCCAGCGCCACGCCCGCACCCTCCGCACCCACCCCACAGCCACCACCAAACTCGAATTCGTCACTCTGCGCATCTTCCCCTTCCGCAAACATACCACCGCTTTCCTGCACGAACTACGCGCTCTCCCGCCCTCACGGTTCAGATTGGCGAATATCGAGTTGCCGAAGACGAAGGAGTGGAGGGAGAGGCAGAGGGAGAAGGGGAGGTGGAAGAGGGTATGGGAGGTGTTGAATGAACAAAGGTTTAAGTTTTATGTTAAAGAGGGGAGGGGGTATACGGTTCGGACGGGGGTGCCGGGCGTGTGGGAGGAGGTTGCGGAGAGGATTAGGGAGCAGAGTGCAGGGATGGAGGAGGGGGGGAAAGGGGCTGGGGCGAGGGGAGTGAAGAGTAAGACTGGTGCTGGTGTTAGGGAGAAGATGCCTGCGTTGAAGGTTGGGGAAAGAATTAAGAGACAGACTACTAGGGTCGTGAAGAGGTGAGGACGGTACATTTAATCAATCAAGAAAGAGCTCTCCGTAATGTGAGGCGCTGCATACTTCTCTTCAGTCTGGCAACGTCAAAGTGACAGCAACAGGGCATCTGTACGTCATACCGCACACATCAACTTGAATACACACTTATACCGGCAAAACAAAACACTCACTCATATACTAAGCGAAGGGTATATCTACAAAAACCATCCAACCTCCCAACTAACCCCACCCCACATCTCAACGTATCACATTACCAAACCATGCGCATAAACACATCATTCAAAACCAGTAATTCTCAACCTATGCCTGCTCAAGAACCGTCGGCTTCTCCTTCTCCAAGTTATCGTCGTAACTCGGCTTGTCCTTGTGCATACCAGCACCAGAATCATGGTACAAGCCCGAGCGCTCCAGGATGTCAGTAAGACCGACTTCGCGGTGGACCTCAGCCCAGCGCTCCTTTTCGCGCTCGGCGGTACCGACGGAGCCGAAGAGGGTGTCCATTTCTTCCTGTTGAGGGTGTTAGCATTCCAATCTGATAAAACAGGGGATATGGGTTTTTAGAGGGGAAAACATACAAGAGACAACCCCTTTGTCTCCGGGAAGAAGAAGTATATAAACGCCGCGCCCATGGCGGTAAAAAGCCCAAAGAAGATATACGTCCCATAACGCAAATGCGTCAACATATCCGGTGTAACCTGGCCAACGATGAAGTTGTTCATCCAGTTGGACGAGGCGCCGAGAGCGATTCCATATGGACGGTTGGACATGGGCCAGATCTCTGCAATGACGATCCACGCACAGGGTCCCCACGAATAGCCGAAGAAAATGACAAACAGCCACACCATGACGCAGGCTGCCCAACCCGCGCCCTGGTGGTTGGGCCAGTCGTCCTCGAAGCTGGCGACGATGCCGGAGATGATGAAATGGCAGGCTGCCATGCCGATGGCGCCGCTGACGAGCACGGGCTTACGACCGAGCTTGTCGACGTACATGACAGCGGGGATGGTGGCGAGGAACATGACGATGCCGACGACGCCTGTAGCGAGCAAGTTGACAGAGTTACCCGACAGACCGAGGCCGGAGAAGATGGTTGGTGCATAGTACAAGATGGCGTTGATTCCGGTCCATTGCTGGAAGAACATAGTAAGTGTGGAGATGGCGACGCGCTTGAACATGCCCCTAGTGGTGAACAAGCTACCAATGGCGACGAATTGTAGTTTGAAGATTGACAGCGCGCTCATGTCTTGCAGGTGAGGGAAGTTCTCGGCCAGCGACTTCTTCTCGAATAGACTCTGCGCGCGGATCTCGGCGTACTCGAGCTCGATGAGTTCGTGGTCGGACGGCAGGTTGCGGAGACGGGCGAGCACGGTTCGGGCTTGGTCTTCGCGGTTGTGGTGGATGAGCCAACGCGGGGAGAAGGGCATGAAGATCATGCCCACGCCGAGGAGGACAGCGGGGGCGAGTTGGAGGGCAAGAGGGAGGAGCCATGCGGCTTCCTTTTGGCCAGCTCCCGTTCCACCAATGTAGTTTGTGCCGTAGTCGATCCAGAAACTGATCATGATTCCGAGGGTGATGCTCAACTGCTGCAGACCGACGAGCGCACCGCGGACTTCTGGAGGCGCGATTTCGGCGTTGTACATGGGCACAATCATGGAGAGCGAACCGACGCCCATACCAGTTACAAAACGACCGCCAAGAATAGCATTGTGGCCTTGACCGGCAGAGGCAGTGCACTGGACGACGACGCCGACGATGAAGATGGCAACGTTGATGAGAATGGCGTATTTACGGGAGAGAATCTCGGCGAGGAAACCAGAGTACATTGTTCCAAACCAGGCACCGAGTTCAAGGATAGATACGAGCCAGCCTTGCTTGGAAGAGTTCCATGTGAGCGCCACAGGGTCCTCAATGTAGTCGCCCATGTCTAATCGTCGTTAGCATTGTAGTATTGACCAAAGCTGTGGAGAAGACTTACGCTCTTTGAAAGAGTGCATGGTAAGCACACCGGAAAATACACCCTGATTATAACCGTAGAGAAGACCACCCAAGCAAGCGAAGCAGGCAATACCAAAGACCCTCGCATTCTTCACCAAAGCCGCGGGTCCAGAAGCACCAGCGAGCGCTTGACGGCGAGCCAAAGCGGCCACCTCAAAGTCGGCAGCACCACCACCGACAGGAGCCATGTTGACGATTCAAGTATTGGTGTGATGATGAAAAGTCGAAACAACAAAAGAACAATGGCAGGCACGAAACAAAAGCGTGCAGGGACGTCTTTATAACAAGCCCTTTTCGACCGTTGTCAGAATCCCAGTACCAGGGAAACCATGGGGAACTGGGTCCTACATATGCGATCCCAATTTGCCTCTACTACGACCCGCCCCAGTCAGCAACCCACAGTCTCGGGTAACGGGAGCGGCCATTGCTGAATGGTCGTTGGTGCGAAGCTTTCGCGTGGCGGGTAAATACGCGGTTAAGCTCAGTGTCACCGACGCTTATTTGGCTCAGCGGCCGCGATATAAGCCTCGGTGGCGGTCCACCGTGGCATTGGCACCGCGAGCTTGCGCTTGCTTCGTATATACGGCACATCGCAAGCCAAGTCTGGGCTGGACAGCCGCTGACAAGATGGCGCACTATTGAATCTGAGTGTGGAGGGGGCCACTGGCTGGCTTTGTTGCGTGGTGTGGCCTATGTGTTGCTGAGCAATCACGCGGACGGCTGAAATCTGCCTTGTCCCATGTTGTCATCTCGTCAAGGTGTCGTCGATACTGACTCGAGGTGTGATATCTCCTCATGTCATGCCGCTCGTCCCAACATCTAGATTAGGAGCATGCCTGTCACACCCAAGGCACTGTTCACGAATACATATGGAGCAAGATTATCCATCCTCGTGCATTTACCGGTCCGAGGAGCTAGTCGCCGTCAGCGGCCGTCAGCGGTCAGCCCCCGCCTCCGTTGGCGTCTTTTGCAGTTGTGGAGACTCCAGAGCGGGTTATTAGCGTGATGAAGGGCATTCTGCCTAAATTGCAGGATATCCGTCTTCAACAATGGCGCCAACAAACGCCGCGCGTGCGGAAGATTCGGAGCCTTTCGCTTGCATGTTGTATATTTTGAGGGGAGATGTTGGTAATGGATATCTCCTGACTTTTATTTCCGTTCCGAGAATGGGGGATGGGTGTCGTGGTGGATTTGAGCGCGTGGAGATGTCCGTGGGGTGGACCGCGGGGGCCGATGTGGGCAGGTGGAGATGTCGGGTCGCTGTGGCCAATCACAATCAGTCATCCAATTGTGTCACGTGCTGGTCGATCTTGGTGTCTAGACTTCTTCTCGACGACACCGGGGTCTCCACATGTAAAGTTTTCCGACCGAAGACGATGCTGCCCACTTGACTTGAAATACGAGCTGCAGAATTGGAGGAGCAGAGGTTATGTTCATTCCGGCAAGACGACAGTTACCTGATATACCTCTGTGGCGCAGCATTCTTGGGTCGTGACACGAGGGGGCCCTTTTCTCTTGTTGTTCCCTTCTTTTCACTCCCTACTTCTCATGAGCCGTATCATTATTTTTCTTCAACCTGTACCCTGCAATTCACTGCTCTGCTCATATATTCCTGTATCTTTTCACGTAATTTCAGCGCCGGAAATCCGACATAGATTGATGCACAGTAGGTAGCGGCGGCCATACTCTTCGCCGAAAGAGACGTCTCATTTCTGGCTCATCAAACACCGGATTACAACACAAAACTCATCGCCGCATTTTTGCGCACAAGTATCATTGATGTGATGTAAGAGAGGAGGCGGCGAGGCTGTTGGCTAAGACCCAAGATCTTGGATTGTAGACTAAAAGAGATGTGCTCGCCCCATCTTGAGACGATATCGCTTAACATCAGCCCACCAGATCCGCCTTCAAGGAGCGGTAGAGTCTTGTTGCCAAGGACATCGCAAACTGGTTGAGAGGGTGGTAGTCGCCCCATCCTGAGACAATATCCCTTATCATCAGCCCATCATAGTCGCCTTCGAGGATCTGTAAAGTCTTGTTGCCAGGGTTATCGGAAACTGGTCGGGACTGTGGTAGTATTTCTTGCCATTAATTTCCCAAGTCTTTGGTCCGAATGGATTGTCTGGCATCATTGTCAGCCCGATCATACCTTGAATAGTACGCAGCCAACACAAACAGGAGGCGGCAAAGACGCTTCATATGTCACTCATTTCTACATTCGCAATGGTCAACAGGTCTCCGACGCGACATCCTTCCTTTGAACCCCCCAAGACCTGGCATGGTGACGTATCGGCCCCAAAACACGCCTGAATCGAATGCCAATTGTCGTCGGAAGGAAGCGGCAAAGGTCTCGAGTTGATAGTTTGCCTACGTTTGACACTGACCCAGGAAATCGCGTTAAGTTTAGGGTTGCTTGAAGCCGAGAGTGAGAAAACTTGGTAAGTTTGTCAAGATGGAAGATATAAGTGCTGGATTCAGCACTCTAGTTACGTTCATCTCGAACATGTAACCTACATTGTAGTTTACAAAGACTCTCAAATCAAATTTCCCATACAAATGGAGTTTCTATACGTACTCCTTCTCGGTCTGGCTTTCCACAGAGTGTATGCCTTTTTGCCCTATGCTCTTTCGGACACTGGTGAGTATTGCTTCGTTGAGTCGACTGTTATCGTCTCTGTTCTAACTTTCATCCAGATGACGACCTCTTTGTGCCCCGACAAGCCTCATCAATTGACCCTCCACTGAGTTCAGCAGCTCAGTCTCGCGGCATATGGCCATCACCGCAAGGAACAGCACCCGCAGATACATCAATCGCCAAGACATCCACTTGGCCAGGTACAGCGCCTGCATCTCTGAACTCTGTGTTGACATCTTTCACCGCGGTTTCTTCCGACATCTACAACTCTAGTCGTCAACCGGAGTCATCTGTATTCAATAGCTTGACTACAACGATCTCAAGCATCATCAGCCCGACCTCGATAAATCAAAACTTTTCAACTACGCCTCATTTCAGTGGTGTATCTTCCAGTTTGATATCGGCGCAGCCGGAACCATCCTCAGTTGTTGCCCCAATCTCACCGATCCCAGCAGACTCCGCAACAATCAATCGATTGACATGATTGATTCCTATATAGGTTAAAGAATTACTTCATTAGGCAGCCTTTAACCTAGATAGGAATCAATCATGCCGATCCGATTGATTGTTGCGGAGTCTGGATCCCAGCAACTTAGACCTCAATTTCCTCTGCATCAGTAATTTTGTCGACCCCTTCAACCGCTGTCTCATCAAGAGCCGCTCTGAACACGCCAAACATATCCACTGTCGTCAGTTCGGTCATTTTGACCGCTACAGTCACAGCATCAAACGGTGAACTTAGTACAGTCGTTGTCACAACCACCCCAAAACCCGATACCTCCAACCGCGCAACCATGTATCCCTCACAGTCCTCACAATCTTCCGCGGCGACCGCAGCAATCCCAACGGATACTAGTCTCGAAGCGGTCATGGAAAACGTCACATATCACCTGCCTTCACCTGGTGAGGATGCAGTCAAAGTAATGCTTCTTGATGGCTCAATCGCTCAGCTCATGGCAAATAAAGTCATTATTGGCACTCAAAGTGTGACCATCCCTTCAGATCTAACCAGCTCCACTGAACTTCCCGGCGGTATCACGGCCAAACCTGGGGAGGCCACTAAACCCGATGACGACGACCAGCACGACGGCGGAGTTGTTGGTCTATTTGGGGCACTGGGCGGAATAGCCAAAGGCACGACATCAGCCGTTGGAGGCGCCGTTGATGGAATTGGCGCTGTCACTACGGGCGCCTTGGCCTTTGCTGGAGGTACCACTGGCACAGCCGCCAGCTTATCCGCTCCGCTCTCCGGCGCCATCGGCGAAATGGGCAAATTCGTTTCCTCTATCAATAGCATCCACAAGTCTTTTCCCGGCAGTCAGCTCACCCAGGCCGCACTAGATACCTTCAACGGCGCAAAGAAGCTTGCTCGGCAGTCGTTGAACTGGATGAAGTCGACCCAGAACCTAGTCCAGAACTTCGACAAGTTACCAGTCGAGGTGCAGTCCCAGGTCAAGAACAGGGCTGGGGAGTTTTTAAAAACCGGTGGCACCTTAGCTCAGTGTAAAGCTGCATTGGAAGCTTTCCAGGACTTTCCTTGGGAAGAGGCGAAAGTACCGAATCAGACGGCGGAAGTGAGCGCGACGACTAAGCCGATGGAGAAAACTTCGATTCAGAGTATTCCGGTCATGTCTATTATGTCTACAGCACAGAGTACGAGCATACAGTCTTCTACGGCGACGACTTCTACTATGCAGTCTTCTAGTTCGACGACTACATCGAGTCAGAGCTCATCTTCTACTAGTGGTTCACCGACGCCTACTGCATTCAATGATACTACCCATACGATCTTCACCAAGCCTGGAACATCATCTGAGGCTTTCAAAAAATTTGTCTCTGAGCTGGATGGAGGAAAAGGACACCTGTACGATTTCGTATCAGATAAACGCCATATGTATCTCACCAATTTGAACGAAACCCAGGCCTCCGAACTAAAACAACAGTACAGCTTCATTGAGGTAATACTTGGCAGGCGTATGCTCGACGAAAGTATTGATGGAAGCCTGGAAGAGTTTCGGGTGGTCGATAGGAGTCGACGTGAGGGAAAAAGAGTCGGAGACATACAAACAGCCGACACTCCAGTAAAACCTAGCTGGTCTCCGGATCCTTTGATACCATTGTCTCATTTGTTTCGTCGGACTCTGCTAGCTCCGGCTCCTGATGCACCTTGATGGAAGAAGATACTCTCAGCCCTTCCACGCGACATCAATGGTCCAAATTCCGGTCATGAATCTGACCCTCTGTACCTAGCAGATGATTTTCTAGGCCGGGATGTCACAATCTATGTACTGTATGATGGTTTTGACGTCGGCAATGCGGTAAGTATCTATTGCCACATTCCATCGCACACACTAATTGTATCAGGACCTTCAAGTTGGCAATCGTGCAATGAACACTATTATTACCCCCAACGCCTTAATATCTATGTTTTAGTGCCATTCGATCCGGAAGTCGGGTCTAGGTACATGCCCGAGCAGATTCAAGGCGGGGACTACGGAACAATGTAAGTTATGACACTAGAGATGTTCCCGTGTTGCCCGTCAAAGGTTCTAATTCTGTTCAAGGATGGCGACCATTGCTTCAGGCATCCAGTATGGGATATCCCCTAACGCAAATCTTTGCCTCGTCAAGACAAAGAGTTCCATGAGAAACAAGTACCATCCGGATCAAACGTTCAGTTTGCCAATAACTCTGGAGGGGTTATTTTATTTTCTATATGAGGTCAAAGAGGATATAAGGAGAAGATTGACTCAAGACCCGAATGCCAGGTCGGTCATCAACATGTCATGGGGTAAGTATTGATTGATCTAATACACCGTTCTCTTATGAAACTGAATTAAAGCTATTAATAGGTATACAGCGCTTGGGTAAGTCAGAAACAGAAATGACTCAGTGGATACGAGCTTTTGAGAGCTTTCTAGCCTTTTGCAAAGAACGCAAAACTCCTGTGGTCGTCACTGCTGGCAACAAACCAGCGGTCGAATACGTTCATGACAGCTATCCGCAAGCACTTGCGCAGCCTGACGACACAACGATCATTGTTGGGGAAGTAACCAAAGCCGGTGCGGTATAAACAAACACCGTACTAGATCCTGATCGAAAGATTTCGGTTCATGCCCCTGCCGAAGGTTTTGCGGTACCTAAGTCGGGTGGCGTGACACCGGGCGCGGGCGAACAAGCCGGCACAAGCCAAGCTGCCGCAACTGTGGTATGTGGTATTGTTACAGGATTTCTCTTTGCAATCTGACATCTGCCTTAGTCCGGTCTCATCGCCTATCTCTATGGCCTACCGAATTGGCAGCAGACCGAATACGTGCGGACAACGCCTATCAAGCGACTATTGCAAGACCACGCGTGGTTAAGAAGCAATGCACCAGTACCTGCGGGGTATGGGCCGGCCAAAGTCGTGTACAATCTTGCAAGAGGCGACTGGCAACACGACTCAAAGTGCGTTCAGCGTCGTGGAAAATTTGGTAAACAGCAGGATTCCGGGATGTGCTCATTGTCTTCGACGTTTACAATCTCGGTCAGGTTCGGGAGAATACTCCACCTTCCGTTTTCACTTTTACTAATATCATTTGAAGTTCGGCTGCGCCCTCTTCCACGCATTCTGCAAGCGGTAGTACGTCCCCTACATCGAGCGTCTCGTCTGTTTCTAAGCCTAGCACATCACCTGTGAGATCTAAAAGGCAGTCCTCAAGCTCGCAATCGGACCTGATCTCGTCTGCTAAAACCACTAACGTATCGTCGTCTTCCGCTACGCCGTCTCCCAAGACTTCCAAGACGTCTACGCCTACTCCCACTCCCACACCGACATCCAAGCCTCCCCCGCCCGAACCACACCCGGAACCCACGGAACCTCCTCAGCAACCAGAGGAAAGTTACGGTGTGTTGAGTCCGACAGCTAAGCCGTACTCCCATAATTGCCTAGATGCGATTGGTCTTAACATGGTGTGGTGCGCGAGAGTGGGCATGTAATGTTCACACAGGGGAGCAGGCTATTGTGGATGTGCGTTCTGGAGATGCGCAGTATACGGGCCTGTGACCGTATGACGATGGCTGCTATACGGGATCACCTGTATATTGGCCCTGATGAGATAAATCTGCCTTGGGTTGTCATCTCTGCCGCTTTACGAGTTTCTTTATCTCCTTCCTTTCGCGATGCTCCGTTCCTTTATCCTGCGCATACTGTTTGGATGGTGGAGTGATGAACACATGGACCTTCTTTTATCTCTTTCGTTGATATCTCATTTACGTATCGATGGCTGGGCTATGGCAGGTCGACAAACCACTCATTTAGATAGGCACTGTTGAGAATACAGTCCGTAAGTGACTTGGTGGTATCAAGCGGAGGAGTAGTCACATGATTGGTGACACGTGCAGGTGGGTCCTGGCGGGGAGCTTGGACGCAGCTGCACGCAACACGAATCTTCAAACTTGTGGATAGCTCCTTAGTCAACAATACGAATCGTACCACCACTACCGTTGTGCCTTAGAGAGCGCTCTATTAGGTAGTCATACTACTACTAATAGTGCAAGCTTCTTAATAGGCACGATGTTTGTTGGCAAACACGGTTCATCTTGTACTTCGAGGGGTATGAAACAGGTACATGTCGTATAATAGCTTACGAGATATTATAGAACTTGACTCCCCTCAATCTATCAAGACTATTTTGTTCCGAGTTGCTTAGGCGCGCTGACAAATGTCTACCAAATCGAGCTGTGGGGCACACATCAGCCGCTAGACCCAAAAGAGAATTAGACTGGGCCCAGGCGGTAAGCTTCAAACATAGGAAGTATCTGGAGAACATCACGACATTTACCCTAATCATCAGCTCAACTTTCGCCATTGCCATATTACGACGCATTCAATCTGTTCCGATTCATCTTGGTCTTAAGCTTCTTGCGTGTCTTTGTCGGCTAGATTGGTGCTGGTTAGTCGCGGCCAGCAGCATCCCTGTGACTCTATCCTCTTCTCTTTCATTTCCTCGAGCCAGCAGTATTGTACCCAGCCTTTTACTCCTACTAGAAGATCTTTCGATCTATCAAGTGTACCTTTGTATCCGAGAAGTCCCTCAAAGTCCCTCGGTACGCTAAGTGCAATCGCGCTCAATTGAGGCAGTTTCATCAGCCTATACCCAATCGAGCAGCATTCATCCAGAGCACCCTGTTGGTGACATCCTGGCTGTCTGACAAACGCACCCATTTTCCATTGCATATCGATTGCGTGAGGGGCAGACACAATGCGGGGCTCTTTGACTTTGTCGGCTCTCCTCCTCTCTCTTCCTTCCTCCTTCACGGTCCTTGCTTCAGAACAACAACCTTTTGTATACGGCGAGATGTCTGCACCACAATACACACTCCCCCCGCTACCATATGCCTACGATGTTAGTATCTACTACTAATGCCCTAGTCCATGATAGTATACTCACCCCTCTGCAGGCATTGGAGCCGCATATCTCCGCTCAAATCATGGAGCTGCACCACAGCAAGCACCATCAAACCTACATCACCAACCTAAACGGTCTTCTCAAGACACAGGCAGAAGCTGTTACTACCTCCGACATCACCTCGCAAGTCTCCATACAGCAGGGAATCAAGTTCAACGCTGGTGGACACATCAATCACTCCCTCTTCTGGCAGAACCTCGCTCCAGCTAGCTCCAGCGAGGCTAAGAGCTCTGCTGCACCCGGGCTACTCAAGCAAATCAAGGCGACATGGGGAGATGAGGACAAGTTCAAGGAAGCTTTCAATGCCGCTTTGTTGAGCATCCAGGGAAGTGGTTGGGGCTGGCTCGTCAAGACTGAGATTGGCAAGGAGCAGAGGCTATCTATCGTGACGACCAAAGACCAGGATCCTGTTGTCGGTAAAGGCGAGGTTCCCATCTTCGGTGTTGACATGGTAAGTGAATTGCATTCATCAATCCCGTTGGTTCACAGCCCTAACATCTCACAGTGGGAGCACGCATACTACCTCCAGTACCAGAACGGGAAGGCCGCATATGTACAGAACATCTGGAACGTCATCAACTGGAAGACAGCTGAGGAGCGTTACCTCGGCTCTCGCGCGGATGCCTTTAGCGTCCTCAAGGCTTCCATCTAAGTCATTTACACGTCTGGAAAGCAGGATAAATAATGCAAAGTATATCTATGATTGCGATAGATTAGCACAAGGATATCATCGCTTGCGTATATGTAACATTCATCTCGGAGCACCCTGGTGGATGTTAGCGCGTGTTTCGGCCAATCGGGTACTCCCGTCTGTAACTTGCTCAAAGAGTCTCATTCACACTCAAATACCAAACACTACGAGACAAGCATTCTAAAGCATTGATGTCTTTGTGGTTGCTTAGCTTTGCTGATCGTGATCATCTGTTTATTCTATTTTACTAGCAGTGTTCGTGTTGGACAGCCACGTTCATCCCCTTACATACCTCAATTACCACCCAAATCCATTCCAACAAACTTACTTCAACTCCCCACAACTTCATCGGTTCTACTGTATACAATTCCTCAGGATACCACAACCATGTGCAACGGCACCTCCACCCGCGTCAGCCAAGGCGGCTCCATCGCCGTCCTACGCCCAACCCACCACCTCATCCGCACCCATTCTGAAGAAGACATGCTGCTCTTCTTCTCCAACCGCTTCTCTGCTCCTGGAACGAGCGTTGAGTTTCAAGGGCTAGACGAGAGTATCTTGCAGGATATACATTGGGTTGTTATACAGTATGTCCTGTCCTCTCACATCCTCCCCCCCTGGAAATCTGCAAAAAATGGGGACTTAGATAAAAAGAGGGGTTGTCTGACATCGCGATAGCCGCGACGGCGATCTCACCAACGCACCGGAGAAAGTATCAACAAATCCGCTTTACTCGTTTTCCCTGGATGCGCGGCCTTTGAGGATGCAGTTGCCGCAGCGGTTGGATTTGGGGGTTGGTGAGAGGGGGATTATTGGGAGGAGGGTTAGTGTTATGGTGGGTTCGTTTGAGGGGCCTTTGACGCTTGCGGAGGGGATTATTGGATGGAATTAGGGTGTTGGGTTATGCCTGAGGGGGGTGGGGGAGTTGGGAGTTTACGGAATTCATCAAGGTTTTTTATTGGTGGGAAGTAGCAAGGGGTGTTTCTTAAATGGTTTGATGCTGTGTTGTTGGGCCTGGGTGTGAAAAGGGAGGAGGGTTGTTGGATATTAGCGTGCATGCCTGGCTTACGTCCAGGTAGCTGCGTTTGTTTACGTGATAGGGCTGTATCCGACGACCTTGGGAAATATCATGATATCTATTATGCCTCTAAAATGCTGCTTTACCTTTACCCGGGTGTTATAAGGGACTTGAAATATTAGTGTAAGCACGCCACCGTAGTTGCCATACATGCCAATTAGGCGCTTATCCACACTGTTTAGTACTTTAAAACACCCAGGTACCTCGATTCTGGACAAAAGACTGGCCCACGGCCTTTTATTCGTACTGCAAATGTGCAAACACGCCGGTAAACAACTTCATGGCTAGATGAAGCAAAATATCGACCCGAGCTATGATGTACCATCTCTAAAATGGTAAGGTGTATATGATATTCGTTGATTAGGACTGCCACCAGTCTGATTACAGCGTGAGCACTGTCATTAGACAGTATCTACATATAGGCAAGAAACTCGATTCACCAGGCCCCGTTGAGCTAGGAAACCGAAAAATGCTGTCATCACGTCTGGACTCATTTCTGGCTGTCGCACTAGAACAACGACCATACCAGCTTACGCCAGCTCCAGCTCGATCAAAGAGTCGAGACTATGCGGGTGCCGCCAGATGCCTATCATCTTCAGGCCTGCACCTTCATACATCTTCTTATGCTCCTCTTCTGTGCGATGTCGCGCCCCGAGACTGCCCATGAGCTCCCAATCAAGACAAGCTGATTCGTGTTAGTACCACGGCACATGAGGACCGGAAAGGGAGATTGGCTTACTCTGCGCCCAATGCGCGCCCTGGCTTGGTACAACAAAGTCATTGATAAGAATCTTGGAATATCCCTTCTTCATCGCCGGAACTATCGCATTCAAAATCTCCGTGTTCACGTCGTCATTCCAATCTTGAATGATGGAGTGCAAATAGTAGGCACGAGCACCTTTCACCGGTTGCTCAGCCATGAAGTCATGCGCCATTGCCTCCGCGCCAGCACCGAGTTTCGCAAGTTGAACAATCTCCGGCCTGTCCTGCAATATGAGCGAACCGGGCAATTGACCCTCAAACGCCTCTCTCAACCCCTCAATATCGTGGCCGGAGCCGCCGCCGACGTCTACCAAGAACGGCGCGTCCTGGTCAGCACCGCTGATCAGTCGGTCTTGGACCGGGTAGTAATCTTTATTGAACCATCGCGGCCGCCCTTTACTCCACATGTTCATCATGCTCGCGAACCGTCGCCCGATTTCCGGCTCTTGCTGAAAGTACTCGAAATAGTGACTCCCCTTGCAATTGTAAGTATGCTGGAACGGGGCATCGATACCAGAGTCTGGGCACTTCCAGTCGCGCTGCTCAAAGTACGACTTCATCGACTGGTGCACCGGCTGGAAGTTCTCGGCAATGTACAGTATTGAGTCCTGGTACGAATGCTCCGCAAAGGCAGATGAAGTTGGTGTGTTTGCAAATATACCCGGACCGGTTTCGCGTACAGTACCCATGGCAGAGAGATGTCGAAGCATGCGACCGACGATAACTGGATCGACATTCTTGTCGCATTTGCTCGCGATTTCTGCAGTGCTGGCACCGGTCTCTGGAATCTCCTGCATAGCCTGAAAGAGCTTCACTTCGACTGACATCCACAAGATATTCAAATGCGCGGGTTGAGCCCACAGCAATTGCAGCATATTCTCCGAGGGATGGCTGACTTCAGTGATAAGGCTTCTACATGCGTCGAGCAAGCCTTCCCTCGCACCCGGACTTCCGTTCTTGAAGCCATCGCTAAGCTGGGCAATGTTGTCGAGGAGCGACAGAGCAGCCTTGCTCGGAGTTTGGTCGGCGGCCATGATAAAATAAAGTTTGGCAGAGGGGGGATCGCGATGACTAGAGATGTCGAACAGCGCATAAGTCAGGTGCGACAGAATCGTCGTCGTCGCAATCTTCCAGTCTCCTTTACCCCTCATCGGACATCATCTTGGCCGAGCTCGACAAAAAGATCGATAGAGGCAAAAAGAGTCGGAAAAAGGCGGGAAGCAAGACGCGCGGGCCTGAACAGACAGCGAGCCGAGCTTCAAGGACCTCGAAACCTCTCGAAACCTGGACTTTTGCCGCGTTCCACCCGCTTTCTTACTGTGCGACTTGTCCTTGTTCCTTGTTACCCATCACTTACTCCACCCCACTAGTTCTACTTGGCCCTGGAGTGTGTGTGACGACAAAGTTGCCTCTTTCGGCTTCTAGATCGTCGCGACAATGTCTGGCCTCGAGGATCTGGAAGCGCAAACCCCAGCTCCACCGCCTGTCAATGCGCGCGAAACACCTGCTCCCGCTCCCCACGACTCCACTGTGGATTCTGGCGTCGACATGGGCTCATCCTCGGAATTCGACCAGGAGAACAGTGCAGCGTTCCCACTGGAGGCTCAAGATGACACTAGTGAAGCGTCTACGGATGAAGGGTGAGCGAAAATCGACATGACGTGAAGTTCGTGTTGGAAGCTGTGATGTTGATGACCATGGTAGCTACGCCGACTCGGACGCATCCTCATTTCTCTCATCCATCCTCTCTGAAGTACGGCGCGGGGTAGAAATAGAAGGCCGTCTCTATCCCTCATACGGCAAGCACGCCTATGGCATGCCTATTGACGAAAAAGAACTCGACCGCATTGACCTCCAACACCACAAATATACGCTCCTCCTGCGCGACCGCCTCTTCATCGCCCCAATCCCCGACACCACCTTAAACTCTGCAAATGCCCGCGTCCTCGACCTAGGCACCGGAACCGGCATCTGGGCTATGGACATGGCGGACAAGTACCCCCTGGCCAATATCATAGGCGTCGACATTGCCGCCACACAACCCGCCTTCGTGCCCCCCAACTGCACGTTTGAAATCGATGACGTCGAAGAAGATTGGCCCTACCGCCCCGACCACTTTGACTTCATCCACGGCCGCGACCTCATGACCGCCGTGCGCGACTGGCCCCGCCTCATCCAACAAGCCTACACACACCTCAAACCAGGCGGCTGGATCCAGCTCGCAAGCACCATCCCCGGTGCCCTCTCTGACGACGACACAATCCCGCCCAACAGCGGCTACGTCGAATCCGGCCGTCTCTACTTTGAAATCGCAGAGAAAATGGGGGCGCCCCTCGACGCACCCCGCGCTTGGAACGCGCAGATGAAAGATGCGGGCTTCATTAACGTTACAGATGAAGTGTTCAAGTTACCCATGGGCACGTGGCCGCGGTCGAAGCGGCTGCGTACGATTGGGAGGCTCGAACAGATTATGATCCTAGAAGGCGGGTTTGAGGCGTATATGCTGAGAGGGTATACGCAGATGCTGGGTGGGAGGCCGGAGGATTTACAGATTATACTTGCGTTGGCGAAGAGGGAAGTTAGGGATCCGGCGGTGCACACATATGTCCAGTTTCACATTACGTATGCGCAGAAGCCGGGGGCTTGATCGAGTGCATGTGTATGTTTTTATGATTAGTATGGAAAGTGGAGACTGTGATGTGTTGATAGAATGTGAGCGATGGGCGCAAACTGTCTTTATGAAAATTAAGACGCGAGTGTATATGTAGGAAGAAAAGCCGACGGAGGGATGAGAACTACAGGTAAATTTGCGGACACGCATGGCATGCGCTACATATCCTGCTGTCGCATCAACCTTGCGCAGGTCCGCGGCATCAGCTCAGATGTGAATGGGAGGGAATTTGAAATGACTGCGAGTTTGTAATGGCTGCAATACATATCTGATTAAATGCAACCCCTAGTCATATATATCGACGTGTGTTGAAAGATCAAAGTCTAATGTCTAGCTTTGCGTTAGCGACGAAATGGGCTTGTGAAGTCTCCTGTCCTCAGACTATCCTTGAAAGACATACGTTGATATGCAGCGCTGGTTCCATCTCGCCATTAAAATACATGAACTATTTCTGTATCTAAAGAGTAGCCGGAAACTACCGTTGGCGATTTCAATGAGGCGATTGTACAAGTATACCAAGGGGTCCATCATCTAGCTACCATCACACACTATAACAAGGGCATTTTTTTTCACCATTACAGACGGTATTGGCATCAGGCAAGGGCGAAGATTAGGTTTGAATGTGTCTTTGACGCGAGCTCCGTAAGATAGGTGGAAACCCATCACATAGAGGACTTTACACAAGTATTCGAAATGTTTAACTGCGTGAATGGGTATCAACAAGTGCATTTTCGCGTCGCGTTGCCCACGATGCTGGGTGCAATAATGCCCAACAGCGCTTGCAATGCGCACTTGTTTCCGGGAACGTGGGCACCTCCACGACAGAAAGGCAGGAAGATTAAATCAGGGGAGCGCCTAAGCGGACATTCAGCATCTGAACTTTGCGACAAGTTGGAAGCTTATCAACCCGAAACGACTGAGGTTGTGATCCATTCGCAAATCTACCAACACAAAGTGCAGAGTAAGCTGCTGACGAGTTGTCTGGGCTACGTCATAGAGTTTGGTGTAAGAGAACTGTTACAGACAGTCGCTTCACGTGCTGACAGATATAGACATGAATCAAGATGTGAGGACATATGGCATTGGTGTAGCAGTGGCGGTGTCGGTTTCCTTACCTCAATGCTCACCGACACGTCAGACTATTGCGAACGCTTGATAAAGCGGCCGACCTAAAAGCATCCGCCGGCGACGGGAGAAGAAACATGGGATTCAAAAAGCACGTATGGTCAAGCGAATGGGAAGGTGGTAATTCCTGTCCAACTGGACAGGCTGGCCCGGAATATGGCGCGACAGACCTGTCAATCTGAGTATGAAGGCAGATTTTACGATAGTCTTACCACGAGCTTGCTCATGAGCGCGTTGAGAAGGCCGCTCATCGCCGCGCACACCAAGTCACAAGTGCGACTTTTCATTCCGCCGGGGATCTCACCGAGACGGGCATGAGGAGTAAGCTTCGGATCAGTGATCTACACGAGAGCTCGCTGACAGCCCGAAGCATCCGCAGCGATCCTTCTCAACGTAGCCAATGGCTACCGAAATATTCCTGCGTATTTTTTCGCCAACGAAGTTCACCGCCCTAGCGAAGAGGTTGTTGGACTCGGAGGCGGGCTTGGTGTCGCTGGCAAGGTCCGTGCCATTATTCGATACGCAAGTATCAGTGGCTGACGCTGTCAATCAGGAATTTGTGCAAGGCCTATACGATACCCTCACAAGACCGGTCAAGTCCCTACCCACCTTGGCGCGAAGAACGAGAAACCGCTTGAATCTCTATATGGCATTGGGCAGGGATTCTGGAATTTAGGGTGCCACACACTTGCAGGTAACTGCAGGTCCACGACAGAAACGTGGTCCATCTCTTGTGACAGCGCTAGAGAATTATCGGCGATCTTTGGCGTACCAGGACACTACAGTGCACGGTCACCAGATGATCACCAACGCCAGTTGAGCACCCCCACCACCACCACAACACAACTTCAACGCGTCATAACTCAACCAATATGGATCCGATTCAAGAAGCGATTGCAGAAATCGAATCACGCGAACCAGGAGATGAATTCTCGTACCAAGCAATTGCTAAAAAGTATGGTGTAGGACGTATGACGCTGATGAGACGGCACAAGGGCGAAACCGAGGCCTATGGCGTGCGCCAGCTCTCCCTCCATCCACAACACGAAACCGAGCTTGTAAAGTACATACAGACACTTACTGAACGACGTTTGCCACCTACGAGGTTAATGATACAACGCTTTGCTTCATCTTTGGCTAGAAAAGCGGTTTCAGAAACCTGGGTTTCCCGGTTCCTCCGCCGGCATCCCAACCATCTCATCTCTGCCTACAGCAAGGGGATGAGCAAACAACGGTGCAAAGCCGATTCAGGAGCCAAGTACAGCTTGTATTTCAAGCTTCTCCTTAATAAGATTGAGGAGTACAACATCTCGCCCACCTATATATTCAATATGGATGAGAAGGGGTTTCAACTTGGAAGGATTGGCAGAACAAAGCGTATCTTCTCTAAGGCACTCTACGATCAAAAGGGGGTACGCCAAGCACTTGAGGATGGCTCAACTGAGTGGATAACAGTGCTGGCTTGTATCTGTTCAGATGGCTCAGTTCTGAGTCCTTCACTCATCTTCAAGGGAGCCAATGGAGCTGTTCAATCAAGCTGGGTTGATGCTATACAAGTAGGGGAGCACTCGGTCTTTACTACGTCGTCTCCCTCTGGCTGGAGCAACAACGATATTGGGTTAGCTTGGCTCAAAGAGGTGTTTGAGAGAGAAACCAGACGGCATGCTTCAACTGGGTATCGATTACTACTCCTTGACGGCCATGGATCCCATGTTACTATGGACTTTATCAATTACTGCAACGACCACAAGATCCTATTAGCTGTATACCCACCTCACGCTACCCATACGCTTCAACCGCTTGACGTTGTGATGTTTAAACCTCTCGCGAACGCTTACTCAACTGAGTTGGCTGAATACCTTCAAGACAGCCAAGGGTTACTTAATATATCTAAAGGAGACTTCTTCCCGCTCTTCTGGAGGGCTTGGAGTAAGACTTTCAAACCTCTACTCATCAAGAGGTCCTTTGAAGCAACTGGTATACACCCACCCAACCCAGAGGTTGTACTCAAAAAGTTTGCCAAGGAGGCATCAGATTCAGAAGAGAGCTCAACCTCTGTACTCTCCGGGGAGGATTGGCTCAAGCTCAAGTCAATTGTACGCCGTGAGGTGAGGGATCAGAGCAACAAGGACGTCAAGAAGCTTCAACGAAGTTTGCACCACATTGCAGCTCAAAATACACTCCTCCGCGGCGAGGTCAGAGGTCTCAGAAACTCCCTAGCCATCAAGAAGAGACGGGATAACAAGTCATACACCCTACAGCTTGATAACCATCCTGAGTATCATGGGGGAGCTATTTTGTGGTCACCCAAGCGTGTACAACAAGCTCGGGATGATCAGGTATCACGACAACAACAAGCCGAACAACTACAGCTTCAAAAAGCCGAGATAGCTGAGATGAAGGAGAAAGCTCGCCTCTGCAAGCTTCAACTACAGAAGGAGAAGCGTGTTGAGCGTGAGAGACTCCGGGAGGAGCGGAGGAAGGTAGCTGCTGCAAAACTGGCTGAGAAACAACACCAGAAGCCCCTCAACAACGCCAGAAAAGTTATACAATTGCCCCAAAAGGGTAAGCGCAAAGCTTCACAACCTCATAAACCAGCTACAAAGCGTCAAAAGCGTGTTGGGGTTGCTCCAGCTGTGGTAGGAGTCGCAAGCGTTGCACCAGCTACCCCAGCGCGTAGTCGCCGTTCACGACCAATCCAGCCCACAAAAAAATTATTTGACTAGCGCAAGACTTTCCCAGGCCTGTATATAGTATTAATTATTATTTACGCAATTTTATCACGACTAGTGGGGGCTCTACAGGTCCATCTTTTTGAGTATATTGAGTTGTTGGGGTGCTCAACTGGCGTTGGTGATCATCTGGTGACCGTGCACTGTAGTTAAAGGAAATCGATCGCGCACTGTCTAAGCAACGGTCAATCACACTGTAGGCTGAGGTGTACCTGATTCGCCTCCGATAATCGCCGCATGAGTTCGAGAAAGTAACGCGAGCTTAACGCTGATTAGAATTACGACGCACTTTAGAAAAATAGACCATTGCCGTAGAAACATAGATTACATTATGCCCGGCATGGCTATCCGAATCGACGTACTTCCGTGAGCATAAAAGATATAAGCTCACCACGAACAAGCAGCTGAATGGCGTGTAAAGACTTACGCATCCGTGATTGCGCAGAATCTGTATCGAAGGCTCACCAGATCTTCGTCGTTCGAATTCGACTGGTCCGAGACCCCGGTGAGAATTATACGTGTGGACAATGCGATTTGAATGCTGCCAGATATTGGCAACGGTGAAGATCCTTCACCGTTTTCAAGAAGAAAAAGATTGCCTGTACTGCACTTACCAGTCGTTGTAGCGAACCGTGAGCACGAGAGGATGTACCCCATTATCTCACGTAAGACTGAACAAGAGGAACAGGGCAAGTATGACGAAGCATATGCGATACCAAGACCTGTGCCCTTCATGGCGTAGGGGCTCCATCTTGTCATGACTTGTTCGGCTCAAGGATCGCGTAGAAAGACGCGTACTGATCTTGATCTTGACATGGCCTGACTGTTAACTGCTGACCGCCCCTGACCTAACGCATATCACTTTTAGCATAAAAAAATGTATATAAGTCCCAGGATGGACTGAAAAGGTGGAAAATAAACATCCGAACTGCGCACAAATTTCCCGACAGACTTGTACAAATCCTCAATCGTATTTGACGGTTCCCAACCTAAAGGACCTCGCAATGAAAACTCTCGTATATCTTTTGCCCTTGGCTGCAACAGCCTCATGCAATCGCTTTCTCGTAACCTGCGAGCTAGCAAATGGCTAGGTTGTTCAAGATGGCGCCCTGTGTCCCGCAAACGTGGGGGACTGGTGGGACTTTTCACCAGGGCAACAAGGCAAACCTCCGGTAAGATCAAAGTGCCTGCAGCATTTGCGATAAACTTATAGTAAACTAACAAATTTATCCCACGCAGACCTACGCTTGCTGTCTTCTCGACAGTGTCGGCGCATTGGACGCTTACGGAACCAGTTGTATCAACAATTATGGGGGGCAAGGACAGGACGGTGACGTCTGCTAGCTATACTCTTCAGTATAGATAGTGTATTGTGAGCCATGCTCGGTGGAATACATAGTACTCTATATTATATCGTCTATGGTATCAATGTATTTGTCTAAAAGCTATCCTGTGGGTGACTATTCTGGGCATTCTCAAATGAAACTACCTGGGTGTCTTCAGCATAGAAAACTTCTGGCATACTTAGGTAGTTATCAGATACGCTACCTGTATGACAAACTATGTATCCAAGCTTGAGTATGAGTCAGAAGAAGGAAAAGAAACATTTAATCCCATTAATCCCAGGACGTACTCATGCTAAGCAAGCCACGGCTTGGCTCGGTGAAGGGTTTAGTAATACAGGACCCTTCGGCTCATGAATGACCATCGGCTCGGGCGTTGACAGTAGCACTGAGCAGGTTTTGAACCAACTGTCCAGAGGCATCGAATGCTCACGAGAGCACCTAGTGGTTATTGATGAGCTAGGAGCAACTTAGGCTTTGCCGGTAATTACACCAAGGTGCGCACAGGTGCTGCTTACATTTGCTCGCCGCAAGCCGAACCACCCGGTTTCTCGGCTTCCTTGCTCAGCATCGGTTAGTACATTTTGTATGCAGCAATTAATCACAAGATTGTCTGCTGCCTTGGCATAGTTGCTAACAAGCAAATCAAGCAAATATGAGGCACGATATTTGCTCGATTTGGGTCTCTCGTAGTGTTGTATTTGATTTGCTTGTTTGATAGGGCTATATGAGCATATTTAATTGATTAGTTGATTAATTATTTGGTTATATAGTTGCCGTTTTAGGAAGGAGCAGCGAGTAGTCCCTAGCTGTCGTCGTTGCCCGTGTAGTTGCCCGTTAGTCACCGTCGTCGTCGCTCGAAGTCTGCCACTCGTTAAGGCTATACAGCCTGTTAATGTCGCTGTTACTAAGCGTATTACAAACTAACTAATTAGGTAAACAGACGCTAGCGCTTATCTAAGCTCGTATACATTAAAGCGCGGCGAGTAGTTGCGACCTAATACGACGGCGTCGAGGTGTAAGGAGATCCCTAAGCTTGCTAAACATGCGCTCGCACTTACAGCTGCTAGCTAGTATACTTAATATATCGAGCGCAAAGCGCGCGAGAATAGGATACTGTGATGGGCTAGACCCATGTAGGCCTACTTGTAGGCTAAGAGAGCAGCGCAGTCATGCCTCCTACATAAATATCGACTACGCAAGCTGAATCGCGTTGATTCAACTTGTGCATGCCTTTTGCGCACGCGTGGTGCATGTAGTCGTGCCGCTAGTCTTATAGACTCTCGCCCCTTACACTTTCTAGAAGAGCGCGTAGCATAATCTAGAGAAGTGCCTTATTATTATAGAGTCCCTTAGCAGCAGGCTTAGCTACAATAATCTTATAGTAGTATTCTTTTAGCTTTGCCTACGTGTAGTCGACATCCTTCTGTAACGGGCGGAGAATAGGAGTTGAGATTGTATTACTAGTGAGATACTACGTTATCGAGTTGTAGAGCGCAGCTCCGGCAGAATCTTGGTGTTCTGCGCACGGGCCGCTCGGTTCGCCAGTCGGGCCGGCCCTGTCACATGACTATGATTGTGAGTTCGATCACGATCCATGACACTTCTCGTCTTTCTAGGTGAAGTTCTAAAGCTTAGTTATAATGTTGTTAGCTATTAACTAATTAGTCTTTAAGTACTTAACTTTTAGTGCGGTCTAGAGGGTAGATGTAGTCTTATACTCGTCTGCGAGAGCGTCGTTATTATTAAGGAGACTATTTATAATATAGAACAGTGCCTTAGCCTTATCCTTATTGTATTCCTTTGCCTTTTTAGCGTTCTATGTACCTCCTAGTCGTTCGAAGTCGCTTATTAGGCCTAGGACGCTTACTTATTTTATAAGGTTAACAGTGGTAGCTAGGTCTTTAGAGGTGTTAGTAGTTAATGTAGAGGTGCTAGCTCTATATCGTGTAATCTAGGCGTACGTGTGCTTCGTAACTTTAATAGTATAGAAGATTCCCTTTCTCTTTAGCTTTAGTTTGTTATTGCGGAACTATTTCTCGTAATTCTCCTTCGTTAGCTTTAGAATCTTAGGCTCTTTATCGTATCTGTTGTCGCTGCCTATCTTCGCGGTTGTGCTTTTAACTATCTATAACGCGTTAAATGCTGTAGTTATGTGTAGTTTTAAGGTGTAGGGGGTGTTTAGTAGGTTTATAAACGTTTTGGCGTCTGCGCCCTTCAGCTTTCTCTAGCTAGAACTTGTTACGAACCTAAGGAGAGGACACAGTGCAAGATATGAAGGGCAGAAGGATGGAGACCTTGTCGGAATCCCTTCTCAGACAAAGGCGTACAAAGGTGTACAAGGACCAATGACGTAAGCCTGCCCCGCATCCCACAAAGCTTGGCGGAACGCCACCATGGGACATGTCACGTGTGTCCCAAGGAATCCCACGATGTACCGCGATGTCCCACGCATGGGACAGTGTAGGACAACGTAGGACGTCTAGGACATAGGACATTCGCTAGTATATAACAATAGGCAATGAGCCCTTACGGTTCATTGTGTTCAACTTTGAAATCTAAGGATTAGTACTTGATTCTCAACTCCCCGTATATTATATCGATCTACCAATCGTGCTATACACCCTCGTGTCCATCGCATCACTCTATCCCCGAGAACCAACCCAAGATCATCTTCGGACGACCTTCACAGAACTGTATACTCGTTTTTAGTGTGCGAGAAGCTCGTCTCGTCTTCCGTGTGCGAGAAGCCCGTCTCGTCTTTCGTATGCGAGAAGCTCGTCTCGTCTTCCGTGTGCGAGAAGCTCGTCTCGACTTTCGTGGCTTTAGATCACCTTAATCTAGTGGGTCGCTGAATCGTAGAGCACTGAGCAACTAGGCTCATAACCTATTAAGAAGCTGACACTATTAGTAGTAGTATTGTCAGATAGCAGGGTTACTCGACGTTGGCAGCAACCAATCAGCGTAGAGAGGGTCAGTGCGCCCCTCAAGAGGGCCACAAGCGCGGACACACGATAGAAAGAACACAATACAGACAATCATCAACATCCATCACTTTTGTGCAATATCTCATTATATCTGACAAGTATAACTACCTAATAGAGCGCTCTCTAAGGCACAACGGTAGTGGTAGTATAGATTCGTATTGTATTGACTAAGGAGCTATTCACACGTTCGTAGATCCGTGTTGCGTGCAGCTGCGTCCAAGCTCCCCGCTAGGACCCACCTGCACGTGTCACCAATCATGTGACTACTCCTCCGCTTGAAACCACCAAGTCACTTACGGACTGTATTCTCAACATATATAGTAATAGACTATATTAGGCTCTAGCTAATCTCTCCAGAGTCTCCTACTTATCCTTTATATAGGCGCACTTAATCTAACATCTAGATCCCTTATTAGCGCAGTCGCCCTTAAGGAAGATCTTACTAATACGCGCAGACGTCTATAACGTCTTGTGCCTTAAGCAACTAATTATTCTTAAGTAGTTATTCGCTCTTAATTATCTACGTTAGTAGACACTAGTTGCGTAGGAGATTTATTAAGTTACGTTAGGCGCTCTAGCCCTTCACTACGTAATTAAGTAATATGATAGTTGGGATAACACCGATCAGATTCGTTCAAGAGTGGGATCATTGATTGCTCTAAGGATCAGAAAGATCAAACGGCTAGTCCGGTATTTATACATGATAGACCAGTCCCTTGGCACGGATCCGGAGTCTCAAAGACCCGATCCGATCATGTGATCATCCGACGTCCAACATCAAGTCCATTTCCGCGACAAGTAATAACTAGATTACTTATATCTAGATCTCTGATTTTACTAGGTTAATACATTCCCTATTAAATACTAGATAAGAAACGCTAATTAGCGTCTATCCTAGAGCTACATAGCTTAGGCGTCTACTCTAGGGTTATAAGTCTATATCTTAGATTCTAATCTGTAATGGTCTAGAACCAGTCGCATAAGTGTGAAGGTCGTCCGAAGATGATCTTGGGTTGGTTCTCGGGGATGGAGTGATGCGATGAACACGAGGTTGTATAGCACGATTGGTAGATCGATGTAATATACGGGGAGTTGAGAATCAAGTACTAATCCTTAGATTTCGAAGTTGAACACAATGAACCGTAAGGGCTCATTGCCTACTGTTATATAATAAGCGTGCCCTCCATTGTGGCCTTTCCCTCCATGGAGGTCGCACCCTCCGTGGAGGTCATGCCCTCCATGGCGGTCATGCCAAGGTTGGAGGGCAGGTCACGTGACTGCGCGGCACAAGCTTACCCGCTGTGCCCCGCCTTCAACGTTGTCCTGCCGTTGTTGCTTGTCCTCCTCCTTGCAATCGTAACAATAAGACTCGGCTAGAAGCCTCGGAGACAAGAACATCAGAACCTGCCGATACCGGACGAAGGATCCGCCCGACAAATCGGTTACCGGTAAAGATATCCGGAAGCCGGATATCTATCCGAAGAAACTATATAGCTGGATAGCCCTCTATAGATCTTAGGTTAACGAATTCATCTAATTCTTTCTGGCAATTGCCCTCAGGGCCGGCCCCTTTCATAATCTATGCGAATTCTTAAATAATTACTAGCTAATAAATTACTTCGCTTAGTCTCTGCTTACCCTTATTCCTAATTATCTAGCTAGCTAGCCTCTAGTTTAGGTCCTTCGGGTAGCTTACCCCTAAGATTACTCTTAGTAGCTAGATCCGTCGTCTAGATTACCTAATCTCTAAGAAACGGGACATTAATATCCGCCCCTACATTATATAATTCTCTAATATTAAGTATATCTATAAGTTTAATTGCTTATTCCTTTAGTATCTTATCCTCGTTCTTTCCTATATAGAAATAAGTCTCGTTAAAGGACACATCGCAAGAAGTAATTACTTAATTGGTAATAGAGATCTATATCTTATAACGTGTTGTACAAGCGAGTGGGCCAGACAAGCGAGTGGGCCACCCCACCAACTTTCGCATCTTCAAAGCGATTTAACTCAACAACGCGATTATACAAACTATAGATATATATAGAGTAGATTAAGTAGTATCTAACTATCCTTTTTGCACGTACGTAAGTCATGCCCAGTCTCTTTACACCTGTCATGGTTTGGAACCTTGGTGTTCTGAGCACGGACCACGCCGGCGCCTCGGGTGCCGAGGCCCCGCTGCCCCACACATGTATTTAATTCTACCGAAGTTTCTTAGAAACTCGGTACTGCAAAAACTTTGTAATTCAACACAGTTTTAAATATCTGATCCTGTGAGACCCTAACACGTTTTTGCAGTCCATTAAACGCCTCTGACAGCAACCTGGCGTCCTTGGCCAGTTGCTCCTAACCTGACAGCGCCTTAACTGCGCTCTGACAGCGCTCTAACAGCGCTCTAATAGCAACCCAGCGCGTGCGGCTAGTTGCAGATCCCCACAGTTCCCGCGACACGGTAGACCAACGCCATGTCCACCCAGTTCCCAGACGGCAATGCCGCCGACGCGCCCCATGTGGGAGACGCCTCGGGCAGCGACGCCAACCCTACCGCCGGTGCAACGATCAGCCCCGGTAAGAGCGCGAGGTCTTTCGCTAGACCTACCGTGGCTTCCACCGCCCGCAGCAGCGCCTTGCCACGCGCTACCGGGTCCGCCAACTTACGCCAAATCAGCAACCCAGCTGTACCTGGCGCCTTCGGAAACGAGCAGCTAGAGCAGCAGGGCTATGACGCCGACTCAGATAACGACGAGGCCGACATTACCCAAATCCACCATCTAGTACCATCGCGCCCGTTATCACCTGTCGTAGACGCTCAAGACTCTAGCGACTCCTTTCAACCGTCCCCGCCTAACGTCACTACAACCCGCGGCCGCGCAGGCTTTCAGTACCCCGCTCTCCGACAGCGGTCGGACGCCCAGCGCACTGATAACCCCTTTACGTACCAAACAGAAGACGGCAACCATACTAGCTACGCCCTCTCTCCGCCTACATGGGACCCGCTACCCTCGCCTACGCCACGCACAGAGGGGACTACCTCAAAGCCCGTCCGCAAAGTCATTGGCTACGTAATCCCCAAAACTGACTTGCCTCAAGGCAGTCAGCCAACTCTAGCCGCCTATGAGTACGACGCCAACGGCGAGCCCAGGCTAGTAGGAGAACTTGACGAAGCTTTTGTTAAAGGCTCAACCACGGAAGCTGGAGAGAAACTCTACCAGTTCTGCTTTGACACCGTCCACACCCTACATAACGACCTCGCCAATCTTCAAGAGCGCCTGACGGACGCTCAGGAAGACCTCATCGACGAGCGCGTCGCCAAACTCAACTCCGAAAAGCAGGTAAAGTTCCTTACAAACCAGCTTCAAGAGGTGAGAGGCAGCCTCCACGTAGCCAACCAAGACCTCCAGTCGAAACTCGACACCGCTGAGCGACGAGCCGAACGCTACCTCCAGCGCAAGGAGGAGTACAAGACCGCCCTTAACCAAGAGTCTACCGCGCACGGCGAAACCAAAGAAAAGCTTAAAGCCTATGCTAGCACCGCGCGCCCATCTCTACGCGGCAAACCGCATGACTCCATCTCTGACGAATCAGATGGACCCGTTAGCGTACGCCGCCACCGCTCAGCTACCAAACTTAGCCCTGACGCTCCGCTGCCCGCCACAACGCAGCGACGATCTAAACAACCTGAACCCGCGGTCTTTGAGGGCCCTACAGGCACAAAGGCCTCTACCTACCAGAAATGGAAACTCGACATGCAGAGCTGGTTCCGTGCCCATCCGTACCCTTTCGCCAACAACGAGGAGGAGCAACTAGACTACATCCGCATGAAAACCACCGGCGTAGCCTGGGATAATATCTCGAGCGGATGGTTTGTCGAAGGAGACGAGTTCCATACTGCACAAGAAGCGTGGGATATCCTCGACGCCTGCTACGGCCGTTTGAATACCCGCCTAGATGCCCACAACTTCTACGAAAAGGAAGGCTTCATGAAGCCTGGTGAGACTATCACCTCCTACCTGGCCCGCTTCAAAGCCGGCGTCGCTCCCTTGAAATGGGACGACGAGGAAAAGACTCTGCAAGCCTACAAGAAGTTGCCAGACCAGTGGCGCAGCCGAGCGGAGCACCTCATGAGCGACGACACCTTCACCAAGGACTTTGCCAAGTTCAGCCACAAGCTCCGACACCTCGAACAACTTCACTCCGCCCTCCAGCCCTCTCACAACCCTAGCAAGGGTAATAGTGGAGGTAGCGGTCGTGGCGGCGGCGGCAATAACCGCAACCGCAATCGCAACGCCGACAACGCGCAGCCCAAAGGCAGCGGAGCCAACCAATTTATTATCAACAAACCCTACAGGGAGCGCACTGTCATGGAGACCCAGGTCCTAGCTGAATTGGAACGCTGCTTCAAGTGCACCCGTGCAGGCCACAAGTCTAACTCCGACGACGCGCCCTGCAAGGACATGGACAAGCTCACTTCAATGGGCCGCTACCCCGAAGTCCTCACCGCCTTGAACGAAGCCCGCAAGGCCGCCGGCGTCCCTATCCCTAAGGCCGCCGTACGCATTAACGCCGTCCGAGCCCCTACTCCTCCAGCGGCCGCCTCTGACGCCCGCTCGGAAAACGAGTAGTCCCTGGCGAAAGTCGCCCCCAGGGACCCCAAGAGCCTGAGAAACTCAATAAAGAACCCTTGAATACACCTGAACCTACAACGCCCCCTTCTCCTACTGCCGAAGACTGCGACGACAACGACACTGAACCTGACCCCACACTGCAAGCAATCCTGGACCGGATCAAGAACCTGGAACGCCCTGCTGCCCCACGGGTTCGCGTCTCCGCCATCGCAGCCGCCGCTATTCGTGGCAATACTTATCTCCCTATGGTAGGTCAGCAATTAGTATTCAAAGGGATGATATCTCCCTCTCAACAACCATCCTCACACGTAGAACTCATGGGTGACTCTGGTTGTGCTTCTCTCTTCATTGATGAATCTCATGCTCGCGCACACAAATACGAATTAATTCCGCTCCAAGACCCAGCTGTCCTGGAGCTCGCAGACGGCACCCAAGTTGCCAACGTTACCCATATGACACGGGTACACGTAACTTTCGACACCCACCATGAACAAGTCCTTGCCTATGTGACCAAAGTTAGCGGAGTGCAAATGATCCTTGGCACTCCCTGGTTTCAAATCCACAACCCCCAGGTAAACTGGGACACTATGTCAATAGTATTCAACTCAGACCATTGCATTCGCAACTGCCTAGAAAACCACAAGCCATGCATGGCTGCTAGTAGCCGACACCGCAAACACCCAGCGCCCCCAGCCTATGAGCTTAAAAAAGCTCGCCATCCTAAGGCTCCTCAACATCCCCCGCCTATCGACATCGCTTTTATCTCAAGCCGGGTGGCCGCCATTTCAGTGACAAGAGGAGAACAGGTCTGCCTAACCTCTATGGAAGAGGTTGAAAGACTTTGCAATATGACCGACCAAGAATGGACGGATACCCAACTGCTGCGTGCGGCAGGAGCCAAAGTCCTCCCTGAAGACTTTGAAAAGTTTCGCGATCGAATGGAGCGCCCCCACATGAGTAAAGAGGAAATCCTGGCTAAGCTGCCAGAGGTCCTCCATCCCCTCTACCATGGCTTCGACCCACGAGAGGCCGATGAGATCCCTCCGCAGCGAGACAAGCTGGACCACGCTATTGAAATCCAGTTAGACCCCGAAACCGGAAAACCGCCTCGCCCTTCATCACAGCGGCTAAGGCCGCTATCCCGCGACGAAGCCCGAGCTGTGAAGCTCTACATTGACGATATGATCCGGAAAGGCCACATTGAACGTAGCACCTCTGAATGGGCTGCCCCCCTCCTAGTAGTCAAGAAACCTGGAGGAGGTATCCGAATTTGCGTGGACTATCGAGGACTTAATGCCCATACCATCAAGAACCGTAACACCCCTCCGTTGATACGCGACATGCTCACCAAGCTATCCAAGGCCAAATTCTTCTCTAAGGTAGACGTTATCGCCGCCTTCAATAAAATCCGGATTAAAGAAGAGCATAAACACCTCTCAGCGTTCATTACGCCATACGGCCTGTACCAGTACACCGTAATGCCCTTTGGAATGTGCAACAGCCCTGGAACATTTCAAGCCTACATCAACGACGTCCTCCATGAGTACCTGGACGAATTTTGCATGGCCTACCTAGACGACGTCATCATATTCAGCGAAACAAGGGAAGAGCATGATGACCATCTACTCCGAGTGGTCACACGCCTGTCCAACGCTGGGCTCCCCATGGACATCCTGAAATCTGAATTCTTCCAAGAAGAAGTCAAGTTTCTTGGGCTTATTATCACACCGAACGGTATAAAGATGGACCCAGAAAAGGTCAGTGCTATACAGGACTGGCTTCTACCCAAGTCCCTCAAGGATGTCCAAGCCTTCCTTGGCTTTGCCAATTTCTATCGCCGTTTTATATATGGCTTCTCTGATATCGCCAAACCTCTCACCCATCTCACCCGCGGAGATCCAAAGCTGTTTCAAATGACCCCCGAAGCTTCGCGAGCCTTTGACCTGCTCAAGCAGGCATTCTGTAGCGAGGTGGTCCTCGCCCATTTTAACCCAGACCTCAAATGCATCCTGGAAACCGACGCCTCTGACTACGTCTACGCTGCAGTGCTCTCCCAAATTCAAAGCGACGACACTATACGCCCTGTCGCGTACCTCTCCAAAAAGATGACTCCTACGGAGTGCAACTATGAGATCTACGACAAGGAACTGCTGGCAATAGTCCGCGCCTTCGAGGAATGGCGCCCGGAGCTCGCAGGCGCCGCCGACACAGTAGAAGTACTTACTGACCATCGAGGCCTCGAATACTTCCGCTCTAAACGCCACCTTAACCGCCGACAAGCCCGCTGGGCCGAGTTCTTAGAGGAATTCGACTTTAAAGTCAAGTATCGGCCTGGAAAACAAGGCACGAAGCCAGACAGCCTCACCAGAAGGACAGGTGACCTGCCTGAGAGTGTCACCGACGACCGCGTCCAGCACCAGTGTCAGACCATCCTTGGCGACCACCGGTGGGATGGAGGCAGCCATGAAGCTATCCGCCTTGCTGGCCTCTGCTTAGGAGAAGCCGAGTGCGACCTGCCCTCTATCTTATCCCTCATGCATGAATCCGGAGAAGGCATGTCACGCGTGGGCACCGCCATGGTTAGGCTAGCCCGCCTCACTCTCCAAGGACAACATGACCCTTACGACGACCTTGTAGCAGCCGATGAAATGACTACCCAAGAAATTGTCGATGCCCTCTACCCTACAGACGCCCGCCTTACCGCTATCCGCGACGCACTCAACAACGGCCATCGACGTATCCCTCACCACCTTATTGCTGAAGGTGTGCGGTTGGAACTGGGCGATCTTGAAACCAACGCTGAGAGAAAGCTTTTTATGCGCTATAACCGCCTTCTTGTCCCATTCAGCGAGAAACTGAGGACCCGCATTATAAAAGATATCCATGACTCCCTGCCAGGAGGGCACGGGGGTCGCACCACAACATACCAGCAGGTGAGCCAATGGTACTATTGGCAAGGCATGACCGACACTATCGCAAGGTTCACTAACAACTGCACCACCTGCCGGCGCTCCAAAGTCAACCGCCACGCTAAGCATGGCCTCCTGCACCCATTGCCTGTGCCAGAGAAATACTGGACGGACATCTCTATCGATTTCATTACGCCGCTGCCACCCTCAAAGTGGTGCGGCCACTCATACCGACACATCATGGTGGTCGTGGATAGGCTGTCGAAGAAGAAGAAGTTTATCGCCATTGAGAACATGGAGGTACTAACTATCGTCGACAAGTTTCTCGAATACATCTGGAGAGAAGAGGGCTACCCAAAGACCCTAGTTTCAGACCGAGGCCGCCAATTCACATCCCACTTTTGGCGCCGCCTTTGCGACCGCGTCGGCACAGCACCAAAGCTCTCAACTGCCTATCATCCTGAAACAGATGGCCAAACAGAAAACGCCAACGCGGACTTGAAGCAGTACCTGCGCTCGTACGTGAACTACCTGCAGGATGACTGGGCCCAGCTCCTACCTTTAGCTGAATTCGAAGCCAACTCCGCTATAAGCTCCGCTACTGGAGTTTCCCCATTTCAAGCAACAAAGGGCTACCAACCTCGCTCCGGCCTAGAACCAGCCCACGCCATCACTAACGCCACCCCAGCTGCAGCACAGCGGCGCGCTGCTGACTCCCTCACAAACCGCATTGACGCAACCCGTCGGTACCTCCGCGATGAGATCGCCTGGACCCAGGAACGCATGAAAGACTTCGCTGATGTCCACCGCCATCCAGCCCCCCGCTTCGCTGTTGGCGACTGGGTGCTCCTCAACGCTAAACATATTAAGACCGAAAGGCCAGTCAAGTCGCTAGACCACAAGAATATGGGTCCCTACCAGATTACCCGTGTTATTGACAACATGGCCTATGAGCTAGACCTGCCAGATAGCCTTAAGAACATTTTTCCCGCTTTTCATCCGTGGCTGCTCCAACCATATGAGGATGACGCTCTACCTGGACAGCCCAGAGCTAACGACAACGCTCCCCCCGAAGTCCATTTGAACGATGAGGGCGACACAGAGTATGTTATCGCTCAAGTCTTAGACTCCCGCATACGAAATACAATGAACGACCCCTATACTGGCCGCCGTGGTTGCCTCCAGTACAAAGTTGAATGGGTCGGCAACGACCAGTCTGAAGGCTGGCAACCCTACTTCAACCTGCGCGGCAGCAAGGAGTCAGTCCAGGACTTTCACGACCGCAACCCTGGGCGCCCTGGGCCTCACGCCACCTTTCATGATTATGACGACAACGGGCAGCTTGCCGTTGCCCTGCTTTGTGTTTTCAATGGAAGTTTGAACGCTCAGTCGGGACTTTGAGCATTTTGGAGGGGGGACGTGTCATGGTTTGGAACCTTGGTGTTCTGAGCACGGACCACGCCGGCGCCTCGGGTGCCGAGGCCCCGCTGCCCCACACATGTATTTAATTCTACCGAAGTTTCTTAGAAACTCGGTACTGCAAAAACTTTGTAATTCAACACAGTTTTAAATATCTGATCCTGTGAGACCCTAACATACAGACGCTGGGTTAGACTAGCGCGACCCGGCATCTGAGAGAGCCTATCGGATCACAGGAAGGCTTGGCACCCCCTAGGTGTGCCCACAACCGTAGACATAACCAACACACAATCAATAATCAATATATCATCACCATTCATTACCTATTTCATCAGTATTCCAGATGAGAGTGAATATCTAACAGCGGGTAATCACAGCTTTTGAAGCTTAGGTATAATAGAAGTACGACTTACAGATTATAGAAATCTATTAAAATAACGATACTACTACTTTGCCTTAGAGAGGGCGATTAAGATACGTGGAATAGGCTAAAGAGAAAGAGATTATAATCCTTAGTCCTTCGCTATATACATATGAGCTGAATAGCTTGGCGGAGCGGGCGGGCTAAGAGCTAATCACGAAGTCGATTAAAATGCGCCTTAGCGCAAACTTCCTTGAGAAGCTCTAGCCTAAGATTATAGATGCGGCGGCTTACCTATACGCGAGAAG